GCTGAGGGATGTTAGATATGGATTCCCGATTGTATTGCTTTGGAGGAAATTAGGGTTATTATCTTACCTCGCGGAATGAGGGGAGGGTTTGGTGAGGGTGTCCGGTTGACGACTGGGTTGTATACGAAATAGCCATCTTGGTATCTTCGTCTACCTCATAGGACTGGGACATAGACAAGGTTTGTGGGGAGGGACAAGAGTTGAAATGTCCGTAGGCAAAGAGTGTCACAAAGTATTACAAAATAGAACTATACTCGACACAGTCAGAATCGAATATCAAGACGAGTTTGTATACTCCAGGAAAAGGGTATAAAAGGGAAGGGGCAAAAGTATCCAAAGTAACACACTCACCAGGGAAAGCAGGCTGATTTTACGTTGACATGGTAAAAAAAAAAAGAGAAAGGCCAAGATTATATGCAAGGTTGGGGAATGAGGGCAAAGATGGAAATGTGGTTTCCCAAATAATGCAGGGCCCCGTACATTATTTCAACCAAAAAAAGATAAAAGTGGAAAAGTGGTTCTAAAATCTACATTAAAGTAAATTAAAATAATATAATAATATATAATATAATATAAAAAAAGAAAATTAAGGAAATTAAAAAAAAAAAAAGAAAAAAAGATCCAGCTGTTAAATGTCCATGGAAAAGTAAGAACAGGGGGGCCGAAAAATGACGATCGTGGGCTTTGGTGGGTACATGAGTCGGAGCACCAAGTACTCCGTGTCAAAGGGCATGCAGAGCGGAAAAGGCGTAAATTCAAGAGCTCCTTCAAGGTTGACAGATAGATAGAGTACTTGGTTAGAAATAAATAGTCTTAGCGTCAATATCTATCTCACGAACTACTCCCCGGTTCCATATATTGGAGATATTTTAGAAGTTCCAGGGGTTTGATTGGATGGTTCGGAGTAAAGGCATCTTTTAAAAAGATAAATTGAAAATAAGAATAATAAGAATAATTCCAAAAAGAAAAAAGACAGAAAGAAAGTAGTGGTTCACTAGTGTACGTCAAGTTCGAGAATCCCATGCCAGTGCTTATAAGCAGCCACTATTACCATTTACCCTAAAAAAGAGATCTTCCAAGGTCCTTTAAAACCAAACTAGAACATGACAGGACAGTACAGAACAGTGTAGTTAAAAGTAAAAAAAAGGTATAAAAGAGCAATTGAAAGAAAGATATACTATATTATAGGAAAAGTTGTAGACAGCCACAGGAGTAAGGAGGAGGGGGAATTCTGTCATAAGGTGCCTGAGTTAGGCTAAAGTTAATTCTATACTTGATCATTCAGTAATTAATTAAAATATATATTAAATCAAATTACATCCACATTGCTTTTTCTGTGGGGAATCTGGGAGATTCACTCCGTACTCCGTACGGAGTAGTTCGTGGCAAAATAAAACAAAAGGGAAGAATCATCCACTCCCATAGAAGAGGAAAAGACAACCCGAAGTATTGAACCAAAGACATGTACGGAGTAAACCAAGCCTCACTCGTATCGTAAAAAAAAAAGAAAAGACAGAAAGAAAAGCCAAAAAAAAGAGTCTAAGTGGATCTACTCGACAGACACCGAATCGAAGAAAAAGATCATCGCCCCAATGAGAGTTATCACTGGTTCCAAGAAGATCGTGTTCCGAGAAGAGCTTAACCTGGATGGTGGGGACAAAAGACAGAAAGGTTCTGGGTTTCATTTGAACGAATCAGAAACAGTACAGATGACGCCTCGGATCGATCGTAGATTGCCCAGAGCCTCTCATCGGGTGATTGATCGACCAAACGGAAAGGGAGAGGGGCTGGTATTGGGTTACAGGGATAGATCGCCTAGGGGCTCTTGGTTCTTCAATTCGTATCTCCACTTCCTTCGAGAGCTTGTGGCGTTCAGGGCTTTTTTTGGGGGTTCTCTTTGGCGTCCGGGTTTCTTTCCTGTCTCTCTCCGTATGTCAGATCAAGGATCATCCGGAGAACCCGCTTTGGTTTTTTCCTTTTTTTTTTACCTCCCTTTTTTTACGTTATGTACTCGTGAGTTGGTACGTTAGTGGCTGTTGATGTGATTGGAGTGAAGATACGCTTCGCATATGATATCTCTTAGGTGTGCATTTTTGGTACTTATACTTAGCTTAGGATGTCACCGATCGAAATTTGAGTGATTTGGATCTTTGCCTCGCGTATCGCGTCCACACTATGTACGGAGTAATCTGGACCACTATGTTGTATATTCTGGGGCAGTTTCTCAGCTTGACACGACACACACACTAACAGACCCGCTATAGAAAACTAGTCACATTCTGACAATTTAATAATGGCGCAAGTCTGTCATGTCTGGAGATCCCTGGACAAAGCTGAGTGTGATCCAGCCCAGTCCCAGTCAGCCAATCAAGTCGTCACAATGGGGTTCCCTTTTCACAATTTTTTGGTGATTGGATAGGTTCCTGGTGAATCTTGTAACGATGTACCTGGCACAATGTGCTATGAAAAGGTAGTCAGAATAGTATATTGGAATTGTTATTAATCCCCTTTAGGGAGTACAACAGCCCTATATTCTAACCCCTATCTATAATAACCCAACCCGTCTTTTCATCTGACACCAGAGTCTATTCACTTCAAAGTTTAATAACTGAACTTAACATCGCCGTCACCTCGGGCCCTAAGGTATGTCCTTTCGGCCCATGTTGATCCACCCATCAAAAGGAAGATCCCTGGTAAATTAAAATAAACCCAATTATTCCCGATCGGAAAATGGAGCCACCTCGAAGCTTTGGATCTACCGAAACTTCTTTTTTTTTTTTTTTCATTCGCCGTTCCGGGGATCTGACTTGAAAAATTGGAACGTCTAAGTTTTATTTCATGAAAATCTCCAAACCGAGATCATCCGTACTCATAAGCTAACCAAAAGAAAGGGAAAATAAATAAAATAAAATAAAATAAAGGAACCGGGATTTAACCGATCGTCATACCTGCCATCCCCTTAGGCCCATTCACGAGATCAGAGATCGTACATGAAGGAATGCAGATCATCGGATCTCGCAGGCAACCAGGATCTTCCTTTTAAAAATGACTGGTCCAAATTGCAGGTGATTGGTCCTCTCAAAGCTCTGAGTGCATTAGAGGGGAAATGGAGAGGGGTAAACATAGCATCTTGCCTCTCTTCTGTCTACACTTTGGGCCTCTATAGCCCTAGCGTCGGAGGAATTACTCCAGATCGGTGGTAACACATACTGATCCATGGATCCATGGATGTGCATCTGCAGTATTTGTCATTTCCGTTTCCCGGTTCTTGGGTCTACCGAGGGTTAATTTGTATTTTTATTTTATTTTATTTTATTTTGTTTTATTTGTATTTTTATTTTCTATAATTTGTATTTTACTCTGTATTTTTCTTTTATTTGTATTTGCATCTGCAATTGTATTATTTTTATTTTATTTACTCCAATTTTGAGTGTCTAACCTTATTTTATTATTCTGACATTTGATCTTCTATTAAGGAGTACATCGAAGAATTGTTGATATCAAATTGCCAATCCCTTGAACACTCAATAGTCTCCAAAAGACGTCCGACTCCTATTTTCTTCTCTCCTTGTAGGTATCAGGAAATAACTTCGATTGGGAATATAATAAATCATAATAATGAACTCCATAGCGGTATAGTACATAGTACAAGTACTCCATAGCATAGTAACAGAACAATACAACCTTAGACATCCAAAAAGGGCCTTCTGCATGAATCCAACCCCAAACTAAATGTCCAGACCGTTAATAGGTGCATATCCTCCAGCATGTACCTGGTTAAAATCTGAACAATCCGAATTGTTTTGCTTATTTGGCTGCCCAAAACAACCTAGGCTCATGTCACCGGAGGACTGTTCATGCATGATTTACGTGTGCCAAGAGTATAGTTCGTGATAAAGCCACCAATCCCTCGCCGCCATGCGCGGTGATATTACACCCTCTTTTTTCGATTGGTCCGATCAATACGTTATTGGTTTGAGATGGGGCCTTGCTTTTTTCAAATGACGTGGGTGGGTGTCAGACGTCTCTTTTCTTGGAACGGGTCAGGCAGTTAGGCTGGACCCGGAAATATAACTCCTATACCCATGTAGGGACATGACTTCTTGGAAGGTGAATAGGTGTAGCCACGGGAAGGAACTCGGGTGATCGGGTGATGGATCGGTGAGTTATGCATTAGTGCCTGACTCGGCGCTAGAGACCATGTCGATAGTACAACATACTTTGTTTCTTTGTCTGCTGTCTGCTCGGCTAGTGCTTTGCTACCCTTGTCAGCTAAATTTAGAGCCGATACCTAGCTTCGACTTGCTCGATTAGGAAAGACTTCGATTCTATGTGACATGCCAGAAATACGACTTCCTGCTATACTTCCTAATGCAATATCATCGGCGATATAGACAAGCATATATCCCCGTCCTAGATGGCACTCACTCCATTTTTGAACCACTAGGTCATGTACGAGTACGGAGTAGCGAGCAAGACATAGTTAGCCCACTTATCACATGTGCTAAACAAGTCACACTCCCTCGAAGAATCTTTCTATCATCTGTCTTTGAACTTTCCAACATCGCAATATCATGGCCCAAGAAAGTCGAACACTATAATAATTTTGTTCTATTTAATATATCGCAGTGGGAATATCTAAGCATTGTCCCGGCTTCGAATAATATCTTGTGTCTGCAACTTGTGTCTATAAGGGTGGAAAAGCTGAGAGAGCAGAAGAGAGACACGCTCTTAGATATCCTGAGCTAATGGCCTGGCATTCCCGGTACCTATCTCAGCAATAAAGAAGAGTAACCGAATTCTATCCCGAGATCCTATTGTTAGCTCAGAAACAGCAAGGCTTATAAACAGCAGATAAACAATCAGATCTGACCTCTGACCTCTGACCTAGAGCAAGCACCACACAATCTTAGCAGCGTGAACATGGACATCCGATTTCTTCCTTCTATAGCGATAAACACCTCATTGGAGGGCGATAGGTGTATTTTCATTTCATCCTCCTACAGCCTGATACTCAAAGTTCTGGCGCGTGAATTAAAGCACTTTCGAATCCCACCCGACTCGAAATTTTCTTCAAGTCTGTCCCATAGTCGTTCACCTTCTTGTCTTGTAATACCCGTAATTTCAATGAGTTCTGGGCGATGAAGCACAGATCGAGTTTGCACATCTTGGATGGTGGCTTCGATAGTGGAGTAGAGGAGATCAGACCGTGAAGCACTGGGCGTTGGAGTGAAGTTATTTGCGGAAATTGTGATGGGGAGGAGGTCTGCGTTCACTTCGTATTGCGACATTTTCACAGTAAGTTGTTAGGGAAGAAATGTGGAGGATGTTCATTAGGTGAGGATTGTTGCTTGTTGGAAGAATATCTCTGAGCAGCCATCCTTTATGAATAGCTCACGTACCGCCTTGTATATCTGGACGAACCTTGGAAAGGATTCAATAGAAGGGCAGCAATTAGTTCATACTATTTTACGTGCAGAGAACCATTGGATGTTTAACTCTATTTCCTGTTTCTAGAAGATACTGTGAAGTCTAACACTACCTACCTATATTACTACCTGTATTACAGCTGGACCTGTAAAGATGACATATTTAATAGGCTACATTATCCGACAGGAATGCCTCTATCAAACCTTTGGCATGTATAATAAGTGATTATTGCTCTTTGATTGTTCCAAGTTTCCAACTGTGAACTTTGAGCCTCGCATGGGAAGATGTGTCTCTTACACGAAGTGTGATTCTTTTTTACTGCCTTTCTATACATATAAAAAGAACATATAAAAAGACATAACACGGCCGCATAAGCGACTATTCTTGTAACCTGTGAATGGGCCGAGGCTCTCCATCACCTCGTGTTGATTGGGTCTTCGGACAATCAAGGCACCAAAACTATCCATAGCAATGCTACGATTCATTGATTTTTGCTGATTCAGTACGAACAGAAGCAGTAGAAAGAGTGCATTCACTTGAAGAGCAGCACAGCCATAGAGGCACAGCTATAGTGGGTGTTGAGTCCTTCATTTCCGAATGGGGACTTGAGACAAACAAGCTCTGTCGCTGTCTTTAGTCCGATCGTAAAGGAGATATCCGAGACTCGCCGCTTCATTCGATGCTATCAAGCAGGTAATCGAGGATTGTTGCTCAACTTCGGCAATGAAGATAACTTCACGCTACGGCAAACGTTTCACAACATGAGCTTCATAGAGATGCACCGAATTTCTCCAATTCTAGACGTTGAGGAGCTCACATCAGGCGTCCGAAGCCTCCATATTCCATATTCGTATGGAAGCAAACTTCACACTGCGTCAAGTCCTTGATGCGCTGATCGCGTAGATATTTCTCTTGGAACAGAGCTTCCCTCTGGACTACACTCGCGCATCGTGCATATGCCTCTCGTTTTCAACGATGAGAGGAGCCGCATAGCCCTTGCCCGCTACTTCGACTATTCGTTCCACGGCACCGTGCCTACCTAGCAACATTGAGTTCCTGCAGAAACTTAATGGACATGACAGTCCCGATCGGGTGAGAATAATCTCTATGAAGGCGCATTCCTGCTGTTAGGCCTTGGTGATGTATACCAAGGGTCTCCCTGTGCTGTGCCACTGGATCCCCGTCATCGTCTCTTCGGAACGAAGTACAGCCCATCCCGATTCTTCACACGTTGTGGCGCTGTCGGTATTGCTGGTCAATACCTATGCATCTATGCAACCGACTCACCTGGCGGGTATCAGCTCGTCGGTCGTACGGTTCCTATCTGGGGTGAGCTCCACATGTCTGGACTAGGCGAGAAGGCCCCGTGGATGTTCTCACTCTTGGACCAGATTCGTTTCTACCCTGTCACCGAGGAAGAACTTTCAGCAGCGGGGGCTGATGGAACCTCCAGTGATCTTATCAAAATCTCTGATGCTGAGCTAGATCTCAATGAATATGAGAAATGGCTGACAGAGAGCAAGGACGATGTCACTGCTGTTCGGGAGCAACGATACATAATGCGGCCAGGTTTGGGACATGAAAGCGACAAAGCTATGGCCGGATAGCGCGTGAAGGCAATTTTGCCAGGGTGATGTTTCCGTTGCGTTATCGAGGAGGGAGACGAGGTTCAAGTAGGAGACCATCTGGTGAGTACAACGGAAGTTAGTATCAATGGCCAAGTATATTTAGATCTGGATCGAGTCCAACAAAATGGATGTCAAGATTTGTGCACCAGTCAGTGGGAAATGTGTGAGGTTGCTGGTTGCAGAGGGAGACACCCTGGGGTCCAGTGACGATGTTGCTATTATTCAATAGGTGATGCCACATGTACATACAAAAGGAGCAACCCCATGAAATATGTTCAGATAATTCATTTCTTCATTTCGTTGATAAGAACCCCGTTGGAGGGGAGGGAGTGCTGTAGGCAACTTTTCTCATAGACCAGTGAATTGACAAGGGTACGCGAGCTCTACGAGCCTCGGAATGTGGCTGCCTTTACAGCAGCCAAATCGCCGACCTCTTCATGAAGCAAGCGAAGTACCTCGTGAGCAAACGGAGCAGCAGATGCTCGTACCTGCAGGACCCAGCGAAGCTTTTCGAGTTGTTCAACGTAACCCGCTGCTCCATCCATTTGAGGACTCGTTGCCCACAAAAGACCAGCAAACGCACCGACTAAAGCCACCCGGGCTGCTGCCGCAAAACCCCAAAATGATTGAATATGTTCGGAATGAAAAGATTCAATCAAGTTCACTGCCGACGTCAGTCGGGCGCGGGCAGCGGTTCGAATCACTGAACGAAGAGATGGTGCGCTATCTGGAGTCAGAACACGGTACATAGAAGAGCCACCAGTGACAATATTCACCCTGAAGTAGACATCAAGACTAAGCAGCATACAAATCGTGTAATACCAGGACGCAGTGTGAAGAATTCGTCAAGACGAGGAAACAAATATAATGAAATAGAAACAAATATTGATTTATGCATGTTCGACTAAACCCGGAAGAAAGATCATAACCCAATAAACCCGAACAAAAATTGGGATAAGAAAAAGAATGCAAAAGAAGAAAAAAGACAAGAGAAAACAAATAACCTCCCGCTAAAAGAACTTGAATCAGGCAAAGAGCAAAACGATAGAAGGCCAGTCGACGACCTGGTCGAGTGTGTCTAGCCATGAGCTCGGACCAAAAGAAATAATAACCGCATAGCTTTTGCAGATATGCAGGCAGGATGAGACAAAATATGTACAGATGAAGGACGAATAATGTCTTTTGCACAAGATTGCAACGAGCATTGAGTCATCAAGGCACAATGTGTCAAGACAATTGAGGTGATCACCAAGTTTCCTGGAAAAGCAAAGTTAGCATAACCCCCAAAACATCAGAACACACCAAAACTTACAGCAATATACTGTCCAGCCTCCTTCTTCCGCTGCCAGAACATATCGGCCTCTTGAGCATTAAGATTACCCTTGGCCATAGCAACCTCAATAAGAGCAGCCTCAACACCCTCACCCATACCCTTACCCGAACCACAAACAAAGACACGACCGTCAAGCGAGTTGATAACAAACCAAACAAGATCAGCCTGGTGTCTCACTTCTTCCTGCACATAGCGACTCTCGCCCTTACGGCTCTGCACAACAGTGCGCACCTTATCCTCATGCACGCCCCACTCTCCCGAGTAAAGCTCATCAAGCAGCGAGTCACGGACACCCTGCAAAACCCAGACCTTGTTGGCGCAGTTCGCCGACTGGAGACGGCGCTGCACAAAGCCGCGGAAGGGCGCGATTCCAACTCCAGCACCGATGAGTAGCATTGGGCCATCTGAGGCAAAGCGCGTCGCGAGCGGGTTCGCCATAAGTCCTCGGAACATGGGCACGTGAATATCGAGTTTCTTGCCGGAGGCGTCGGCGGCAATCGCTTGCCGCGCGAGAGTCTCTAGGTATCCGGACCCTACACCTGTGCGTGACCCACCGCGCCAGTCATCGGATTCGGCGACTGTGACAGCGACTTCTATTAGGCGTCGGCATTCGCTGCCTTTGTATTGGCAGGAGATCTGGGGATCCTGGGAGAGGGAGTAGAAGCGGGGCATGAGGGTGTTGAGGACGGAGAGGAGGTGGTCAAGGGGTGGTTGGGAGCTGGAGAAGGCGGTTAAGAGTTGGGTAAGAGAGACGAAGGAGCTTGTGCGTATGTCACAGAAAGCGCCTTGGCCTTGGGCCGAGGAGAGGTATTCGAGGATCTTCTTCTCGTTTGGCTCGCTTGTGTACTCGGCAAGTAGGCGGAAGAGTGGCTTTGTCGGGGCGTAACTTTGGATGTCAGAGCACCAGCTTAGGACTTCGCGGCGGGTAGTGATGAGTTCACGAGGCTTGTCATCACCCCAGATTGTTGGCCAGCGGCCATTGGTTGTGCGCATGAGAATTTTCTTGTCGCGCATGGACTTCGGTATGCCTAGGAGGTTGAGGACCTCTTCGACTTCAGAGTCCTTGTTCTTAGGGCACACGCCAATTGCACCACCAACTACGAAATCAACCATCCCACTCTCGGCGGGGTAGTCGGTGACATCGATATCAAAGTGGTAGGTACGCTTCTCGGCGCCGGATCCTGTCAACTCACGGGCGTGGTAGACAGGTGCGCGGTAAACCTGGTAAGGTGGGTGCGGCTGCACGAATTCCGGCGGGTGATCTGCGGGGCCAAAGGTCATCTCGACCGCCGATGCGGGGATCGGCTTGAAGGAAACAGTCTTCTCTGGCAGCGGGGCGATGTTGGAAAGCTGACTATCCATGGTGAGGAGATCGAGGTTTAGCTTGAGGCTGTCAAAGGCCTTGTTGCCGACAGGTCCAACGATGGAATTGAAGCCTGAGATCGGTCCATCTACAGGGCGCAATGCCTGTCCCCGGCAACAACCCCCACCACAGCAGAGGGATTGAAGCTTCTGAGTGCCTGCTGTACCCACATTCTCCAATACCCTTCGCATATCGTCCGCATTTTGTGAAATGAGGACAGTTGATGCTCGTCGACGTTGCCGACCACCGTCGACCTTTTCCTCTACATTTTCTTCCTCCGATTGGGACTCGGTAGTTGGTGTCAGAGGGGTATCGGGAGAATTTGAGCTTGATACGGTGCCCTGGGAGGAGCCCGAGGAGATGACGTGAAAATTGGTGTCGGTCACTGAGAGCGAACGCACACCTCGAGGCTCTTCCGGAATTGGGTTATCTGGGTGGGAGGTTGAGGACACTGGGATTTCTTGATAAGTGCCTCTCCGGGGCCGGGTTCCCGTTGAAGCATAAGTCGCCGACGGCATGATGGATTGAACAGCGTGAACTAATTCGATATATCAGAATGTAAGTCTCAACGATTGGGTTGGGATTGAGTGTTATTCGCATACCCATGAGGAAATTTGGAGGAGAGTTAGGAGTCACCGAGAAGTTGCACAAGAATCGGTACAACGAGAGAAGACCAGGGTATATGAGTCGAGACGTAATGGAGGTTAAGAAACTTCGGTGACAACCCCCTTTTTTTGGCTTTCTATGAATAGAGCATGGGAAGAGAAGAGTGGGATGAGGGAGGAGAGCGTGGACCCGAAGAATGGTCGGATAGTTCCGTACAGAGAATCGGGAAAGTGAAAATGACGGTATGGGAATGAGAAATACAGGTCTCACAGCGTTGAAGATCGGAAATAGAACAGGGAAATTATCAGATTTGCCACATTCTTTGTCACCGGGTATGTTACACGGTTGGTTCCGGCATTGATATTTTACATATTTTACATATAAGAAAAGGAATATACAACATTAACTATGAAATATTGACTAACGTTGATCTTGGCCGTCAGCAGTAATAAGGACTCGACTACTGGATATGGCCTTGACTCCATTTGGGGTCATCGTATCCATCCAGATCGACGGTGCATATGAAGATGAACTTGTACATTACGTGTATTCGGTGGCGGTGGGAACAACCGAGAAGAGTCCCGGTCGGCTGTTAACTGAACTCGGAATGACCACACATAGTAAGATGTCAGATGATTGCAATTTCAAATATTATCCTATAATCTATAACTTACGTTTATAGGGGTTCTATAGGGGATAATTTAAATTGCTATTGGAAAAAAATGTATGTTCCGAGGTGGGCCGACAGAAAATGTTGAATTTGGAAACGTGTAATGTACGTAATATGACAATACCATACACATTACCTCGGTTATCAGATCAATCAGATAGCAAGCGGCGGATTTGTCCGCCCTTTTAAGTAATCAATCCCATCTGATAAACCAACTTGTTACACACAACATACATTACGTTCACATTCATCTCCACATGTAATTCTGTTCTATCGGGGCAATCCCGGAACAGGGGGTTTAGTTTATATTGCAATCCAACTCCATATAACTCCCCTGACCCGAAGCCTTTAGCCCCCATTCTTGCAAAATACAAAATGGATCTCTCTCTATAGACTTCCCCACTTTCCGGCCAGTAAGACCTAACCTTTTGTGCCACGTTGGCCCATCACAGATATCCTAGTTTACATGTCCCTAACCCTCGGTAACTCAATTTTCCAACCATCCGGTCCAAAGTGGGGATGCCAGGCCGAGATCAATCAGTGGGTCATTATTGAATGAGCTAGGGATATTCTAGAAAGTCAGTAAAAATTACAGACCCCCTGTATTCACCGACGAGCATAGCCTGAAACCACTCCCTGCCGATATCGCGAGCCAACTACTCTACACGTAACTTATCTCCGTGACTTTTAGTGTCATCACGTCTCTATTCAATGTACCAGTGGCGCTGCATTGGTTCAATATATTCTGTGTTACGGAAGGGCAAGAATACTGGGCTTCATAAAACTCGGTAGTCCTGGAGGTCATGAAGCGGTTGTGTGATGGTGGGAGGAAAGCCTGGAAGAGCTAACGCTAAGTTCCATCTGATAACTTAATTTTGACGCCGATGACTAGTTAGCTAAATGGTCGAGCCCTTGTGCTTAAGCCCCCGAGACATCTAAATCGAGTAACTATCACCATGAATAGGGGTGGGCGCCACGTCATTATTGTACAACGTAAACTGGCCTGTGTGAACAAGACGAATGAAATAATGATACTCAAGGTTATAATAACAACAGAATCCCAAGATCGTACCTATATACGAAGTACGTCACGTCATCACATCGTCCATCGTCAAATACACAACATCCAAACATAGACAGAAAAATAATAACAGAAAAAGAAAAAGAAAAGAGACAAACCCTCTAGCCCAAACAAACGTAATCTTAATTACTTTCATCCCGATGAACCAAAGCCACAGGCGGGATAAAATGATGTCTCCCCCAAACCAAATAATAAATTGTCGCAGATCCAACGATGCCAACATACATCGCCACGCTCCAGTTCATCGTTTCAACAGTAACATCCGTCGTCAAGGGAAAGAATGCAAAGACATAAACTGGACAGAGGAACGACAACGCCCCCAGATTCACCGCCATGCCAAATTTCCCGAGTGACCACCGATGGTGTGGGAGCGGCTCTCCCCGAATCCGTTTTAGGAATACGCATGCGATCGATATGATATACGCAGACAACAGGGATGTGATCGTGAGTGAAATGACAGCGTTCAAAGCGACCTCCGACCCGATGTTGATCATCGATAGTAGGATTGTAATGACTAGAGACACCATGACGGAGTTCAGGGGGATGTTCCAGCCTGGTGTGACCTGGCGGTTACATGTTAATACAGCCGAGTTCAACACAGGGGTCAGAACAGGGAGAAGATATGGCTTACATATGCGAAAAAGGATGAAAAGGGCAGCCCCTCGTCCCGGGCAAACGACCAGAGCTGACGCGATGCCGTCGCGACTTCGGTGATTGTACTAGCGGTCAACGTCACCACCAGCACGGCCGTCATGGCGTTTGTCGCGGCGAGGCTGCCCGTGGTATTGTAGAAGATCTGGATAAATGGGAACCTCGTCGGGGTATCAAGGATTGCGTCGACCTCGCCTAGTGTGAAGCACAATGTGACCAGCATGATGAATCCCAACAACGCGTTGACGGCGACAGAGGTCATCATTGCCTTTGGCAGTGTCTCTGATGCGTCTTTGATTTCCTCGGCTTTTCAATATCAGCATGATATACTAGGTCTGAGATCGTTGAAAGAGTTCATCCTTACACATATGAACCGAGCAATCATAACCAAGCATGGATGTTATGGTAGTAGATAAGCCGACCATTGTGGCTGTCCCAGGGTTATCCCAGCCGCCCCCATTGTTGAACGTGGTGAAGACTGCGTGGGCGTTGTTGCGTGGTGCGAGTACCCACAACGGGATAATGATGGCGAACACGCCAACAATATGAATGATCAAGATCAACCCTTCCACAAAGGGAAGATTCTTCGCTAGGAAAGTGTTGAACATGATTGAGAATGTCGAGATGGCAATTACTAGCATGGTTCCGTGCCATCGTTGGAAGTCATAGTCTGGCTGGTTCAAGACGATCAGGCCTTGGATGATTGTGCCGGCGAGGTAGGCGATAGACACAATGGCGCATTGCCACCCCATTGCAGAAAGCCATCCTGAGATGATATGTTAGCTAATTAGAGTTACACAGGGACTAGTTAGCTATATTACCTGTGATATAGCTGAGATATTTCTGTCCTCTCTTTGGTGCGAACTCCGATACCCAATGATACTGTCCACCGGCAGTGGGGGCCCTATTTGTCGATTAATTAGCGGTGCACTGGTCAGAAACAGCAAGCTGACAGTCACATACATCGAGGCCATCTCAGCAATGCTGGCATAGACAAGGGTAAACCCGGTTGAGACACCGATGAACCCCCATATCAAGCCCGCTGTACCACCGTCGGTCAAGCCAGCCGCCAGCAATCTATTAATGGAATCAGTGGTCTGCACAATCACCATATGCAGGGACTAGCACGCACGTCAAAATAACTTCCCATGTGCAGATCAAAGTGCATCCAAATCCAACAATAGAGATAAACCGAAAGTTTCTCTTCGTGATATTAGCAAGGCCAACGCGGCTGGAACAATAAGAGCTGAGCAACTTACTCGTAAAACCTGCACCCGGCCAAGAGCATTCATATCACGCCGATCTGCCAGCGTACCCATATACCGAGGCTCAACAAGGCCTTTCTGCGCATACTCTTCGTCGTCAAGGCCAGTCATCGTCTGCTGCGAATCAGGTCTGGACCTATTGAAAGCCGTCATAATCGCGGTGACTGAACCACTAAAATAAATATATATCGAAGATAAGACAATAAAATTCCCCGCAAGAAAGTAGGGAGTTGTGAGAATAAAAACAAAAGCCTATGTCTCCTAGCAAGTTGATGCCCCGAAGGATCTAGGATGCGAAGTATAAAAGCGCCCAGCGAACAAAGCACCCTCTAATAAAACTAACAAAAAATGGCCGTAGCCAGAAGAAGCAGGTATCAGGAGAAAATCCAAAGAACTGGAATCATAACGACCACTAAATTGCCGGGATTGAGGCGTGGTATTGACGTGGGAGCAAGGCATGGCTTGGGAAAAATTCACACGCGCCATGTGGGAGAGAACACCTCCTCGGAACACCCAGGCAGCGATCCGAATGATACATCGTTCTTTGCTCGAGGGTGCTGCATCGAATCCGATTGGGAATGGGACTGATGGCACTAATTTTTGAGATTTGCTATCCCTTGTCTCTTGCCCGGAATGGGGGCTATTGCGACCTTGCATGGCAGGGGGGTCTATTTGACGCCTATTAGATCTGGGAGATATTGAAGTCTGGACTGACTATCGGGGTTGTAATTTTACTTTAAATCGTTCTATTCTATCGATTCTAATGCAGTTGTATCTTAATGGTGACTTGTCTTTCTATTCTAACTGTGTATCGAAATGGTAGATAACATAAAGTATGAAAGATAAACAAGACTAGCCCCTTTAGCCCCTTGAACAGACAACGGCACCACTACCCGATACATTTTCGATGCATCACTCACGCTAATCCCCTAATCCCGTAACTCTATTAATCCCTGTCGCCCATCCACTCCATGCTTATAAGACCCGAGTACCCGATAGAGTTGAAGTGGAGCCTAGAATACTTGGATTTATTGACCGCCAGTAAGGTGTTAAACATACTTCGTACCTAGTTTGATCAGTGAGAAGAAGAGGTTACCTGTCGAATGTAATGGGCCAATAGTACCTTTCATGGGTCTTAAGGTGGGTTATTTCGCGTTGACCTAGGAACCCGATTCCAGCGGCCAGTTAACTCCTGTTGGACATTGTAGCCTGCCATTGAGGTGCTCAAAAAAAGATTGAATTGCTGGTTCGGGCTCTCTTGCCATGAATAGTGGTACATGAAGGGACCATTTCCGTCTACCAGTTTGCTCGCCCCATATCCCATACATTGCCGCCAAGGGGAGAAAGAAAGAACGCTTCGTTGCGCCTTGAGGTACGGAACATATCTTGGATAAGAACCGAAATTTTGACGATCTTGCTTTAGCGTCAGGGGATAAAGCTGTCCAGGATTTGTGGAGTATTCTCGATATACTCTGACTCGGCTCTAGGCCCGGAGATTCGTATTTACGTCCGTTTGGGGCGCTGTATAAACAGATATGTTAGTGACATAACCCGATCCTAAGTTTCGGAGGTCGTCATATTGCTTACCTTAAGGTTGTAATGTCTTGTAGTATCAGATTAAGCTGTGGACCATCCTGTGGGTCTGCGCCGTATATTGCTGGTGCTTGTACTACTGCCCGAAGAAATTATAGGATCTATGATCATGGTTATTACTGTTAGGCTTCAAACTCCAGGAGCAGACAGTTAGATTACCTCATTCAGATCCAAGTCGGATCCAAGTCGGATTCAATTCAGATTCAATTCACCTCTCCATACCAGATGCCATAATCGGGACGCCCCGATAGCATCCGAGTCTCCCTCTTCCATTCCACGGGGCTATACGCCTATGTACGTTCCAACTGAATGTTTAAGGGTCTCGAGAATTTGTTTGAAGACGACGATACTAGATCGTGAGCGCAGACAAGGAGGAGATTGAGCTTGCAACGGATGCTAGCTTCGTTTGAGGAGCTGGCGCCATGAGCGCGGTCTGACTTTTCTAGCCAGAGTCCTAGCTAAGGTTAGCTGATTTCTTCATTTAATCCATAGGGCTAACATACTAAGATCTTCCGGGACGGGGATAGGCGCAACAGAGTCGAACTCATCATCCAGAACCTAGACATTGTGTAAATGTGGGGAACGAAAATCACGGAAACTTATTGAGAACAATTTGAAGGGCTAGGTAGACCATATACTAATCAGCTCATAGGAGAAGAATAACTAGGTGTCTACCTAGGTAGGTATTCTTTCTTCTAGGTAATTATAAATATACTGCTTTTTCCGATTTAGGAAGGAACAATCCATATCACGCCGTGGCGCCGAGTGTCCTTGTTTTCAGTGTCTTTCGTCGGCTTTCTCCCTTCATAACAGCAACGATTTCACCAAGGTTCTCCGGTAAAATAATATGGACCACCTCACCAGACATCTGGTCGACCTTATAGTATTTCCCACTCCCCTCAAAGATAAGACCTCCCCCTGGGGATCGCACATGATAGGGGTGCATTTCCCAAGCTGATAGGAAGTAGCGATACGATACCCCCAAGAGTCTATCGCCGCCCACTCACCCTCGTAGTCAAGCTCTTCTGGGTCCATTGTCCATCCGGGAGGAGGGGATACCTAAGTACATTATTAGTATCCCATGTACATCACATAATCCTTCGCTCATCTCAGACATTAGACTTACAGGATGATTTTCGCTCGTCATAGCGATTCGTCTTTGCTTATAGATTATTCGAGCGTATAGGATGCAGCTTGCAACTGCGTGATGGGTCAAGTGGGGAGACCCACTTGAGCGGAATGGAGGGACACGGACATTACGGCCTTATTTTGGCCTTATTTTGGCCTTATTTTGGCCTGGCTATTTCCTAATTGGGACTAGATCTATACCCCCATAAAGTCCTCTACCAAAGCTCAAATGCCTGGCTTTTCAGGCTTATGTGGTAACGGAGAAGAACGGTGATGGCGAGAGCGATATACTAGTTGTCTGGGAGACACTGATTAAGATCGTACAATTCCACCATACTCCATTCCATGCCTGCGAACCAAATGGCGGGTGGATGCATAAACCCCTCGCTTTATTTACCAAAAAGCAAACTACATGGCCTATCGGATGACAACCACCTAAAGACCCACAGCCTAATTCTGAAGGAGCGCATGCTGATCGACGACCCTACAGCGGGCCGCCGTGCCCTAACGTAGTGTGGTAGTCCGTACTACCTCGAAGTTTGACGTGAGGGAGAGAAGGCAAACCACCATTCCAACCAGATGACCTAACCTTACACCGAAGGCAATAATTGCCTCCATTTATACCCTCCAACGGAATAAAGGGATAAACCCGCTATCCACATTCGAACTCCCCCTTGATCCGGCCAGCCAGACTTGCGTACATACCTGAACTCGATAGTCCGTGTTTCTATCGGGTATCGGCATATGACCTCCCAGGACAGAAACAATCACAATCGCAAGCGCGCCGTAGGAGAAACGGAAACTACGTAGCTCAACCCGTTATCGCCGGGCCTTAATGCTTGCTGATTCGGCCTTTCTACAACATATACAACACGTATACAAGCGTCGCGGTCTCAAATCAACCCCCCCTCCCTTCCTCCAGATTCATTTCAGTCCCGTCACCCAGCCCACATGGCTCTCGGATCTGACAGCCTTTCACAGTCGCTCCTGTGTCTGTGTTGATCAGCGCAACTCATATATACATTCCACACAACACTATAGTATAGTTATCCATCCTACCACATGACAACCACGAGAAAAGTGCTTGTCTAGACTTCGTTATTTGAGGTGGCTCCTGCTCCCTCCCCCTTGCCATGGGCCCGTATGTGCCACCAGGTCAATCGCCGCCCTTCGAGGTCGTCGATGACTTGCACCATGGAGCGTGGCTAATAATCACTGCTGCGCTGGGCCTGGTTGTCTCCCTGGTGTGCTTCTTGATTCGGCTATATGTGCGGCTCATGCTGATTCCGCCGTTTGCGCGCGATGATTGGGTTTTGTTAGGTGCCACAGTGAGTTAGGGCTTGAAGAATCAAATCGAGTCGAGTCAGCTTTGCGTTGGACGAGTTATATGAGTACACTGCTGACATGTATCATTTTAATTTCTGTACAGGCTATCGCTGTGGTGCAATCAAGTCTCATCTTTTATGCGTGCTCCCGCGGATTCGGGACTTCTATATCGTTATTGAAGGATGGTCGACTTAATCAGATTCAAGCTGTACGTTGTCATTTCATATTCTATTGCTTTGTTTCATGGACCCAAACTAAACAGTTACCTAAGTTAATTGCAACAAGCGATATCATCGCGCTGATGATCATCTACCTCTCCAAATGCTGCGTCGTGGCTATCTACCTTCGCCTCACGCCGCAGAAACCACATAATCGCGCATCCTGGGCAACACTAGCCCTGTGCACTGCCTGGGTGATTCCGGCTATACTCATTGTCCTAATCAACTGTGAGCTAAACACACCTTGGCGGAGTGACGGTGGCCAATGCAGCAACTTGGTATGTAAAATCACCCCATGATTCACCCCCCCCAACCAACCAACTTCCCGATGTCGTCTCTAATCTTGCAAGAATAGTACATACGATGGCAATTCATCGCCGCCGTCGACGTTATAACCGAAATCCTCCTCTTCCTACTAGCCGTGATCCTCCTAAAAGGCCTCTTCATGTCCATTCGCCGCAAGCTAGCCGTCGGCTTCGCGTTTATATTCCGCTTTCCGTGAGTAATCCGCATCCGCATTCCCAATCTCAAACTCAAGACTAACCGCCTAACCCCAGCCTTATAATCCTCTCCATAATCCACATCTCAACCCTCCGCACAGCCCTAAACAGCAAAGATACCACCCTCGCCGCCGTCGAACCAACAGTCTGGATGCAAGTCGAGCTCCACTACGCCCTAGTTGCATGCAGCGTATTCTGTCTCCGGCCCTTCATGGCAGCGGTCAGCACAAACTATGGTACGGCAGGCGACTCGACACTGGAAAGTAGCGCGTCAAGATCAAACGACACGAAAGAAGGCTCGAAGACCGGGTCTGGCTCAGGCTCAAATTCGAATATCGCTTCGAGATCTATATCGCATTCTCGCTCACGGAGGAAAAGAGCCGGTACGGGATCAAGGTCGCTTATAATTCCTCCGGCCGTTAGTGGTTCTGGTTCTGGCTCTGGCTCGCGACAGTCGGAGAATCATGGCCCGGGTCGGGATGCGCCGCCACGTCTTGATAGCAGTCCCCGTGCGCACGGAGCGCTTGGAAATAATCAAAGAGATGGGGATAGTGGTAGATCGGATACGGTGCGTGCGCCAATGCGCCGGTCGTTGTTCCCGCTCAGCGCACCACGCAAGAAACTGAGCTTTCAGGTGCCAGAAAAGGGGAAGAATGGCGTGAGGACTGGGTCTGGTGGGCCGTTTGCAGTTGAGTCGGATTTGATTGAGCTTATGCCGAGGCTGCATACTCGGCATGAGAGTCGTGCGACTGATGGAGGGGATGTTGAGGGAGCGGATAAAATGGTTATTCATAAGGAGATTCGGTACTCGATTCAATACGAGGATGAGGCGGAGCTGAGGAGGCGGGAGGATTTGAAGAGCAACTCTGTTGATGTTTCTGCTTATGTATAATTTTATCTTATATTATCTTTTTGTAGTGTGTGTGGATGTGAGATATTATGCATAGATAAACCGAGGGCTCGGATATCCTTTTGCTCTGGTGGAGAAGTAGATGCTGCATATGATATTGAAAGCCTCAATGCCTGTGAACGCCGGTCTTGTCGAATGAAATCAAGATATTGCTGATGATAAAAGCTGTACACAAAATCTAAATATTAGAACACTTCAATTTGGTCGCTTGAAAGGATGGGCTTCGGTGCTCCTAAAAAGAAAATCATTAGCTCATAAAAAAAAAAAAAAAAAAATAGACATAGTTGGGAACAAACATACAGCACATAATCGTCCAGACTGATATGATCTGGCTCAGAAAAGATAAGATAGAGGTATTTCAAAGTCTCGGCAAGCCAAAAGCTCTCCATTTTGTCCTCGTGTTTTGGTTTCGAATGACGCACATCGTTGATAGACGAGTGGCCAAACTTAGTCCGGGTGGCCTTGTCAATGTTTAAGAACATGCGCCACGCAGAGTCTTGAAGTGTCTTATCTCCAGTAATCCGGTACATGACGAACAGGGACTCGAGAGCTTCAGGTCTAGACAAGTAGTATGTTAGTGAGCTGCACTATGAGGAATGGGATAAAACTCGTACCTGAGCTTGTACGATGCGTCTTGAACATTAGTCACGCCTGGCGGTAGACGATGAGTCTCAATGTGGTCCTCCGCTTTCTCGCGGTCCGCCTCGGTATCAATAGAGTGCGATATGACATCTGACATCCACTGCTCTTCATCCCACGGACACTCATCAATGTGCTTGCAGGGACTGACCTGAAACACCTCCGGCATAATCCCTGTAGGCATAACATCATATGCCCAGACACAGCCGTCGGTAAGTCCCCGGGCAACATACATATCCTCCGGCCGATTGAAAACCTTAGCACCAATAGCCACGGTGCCACCCATGAAGCACTTGAGGTGGTCAGGCGCGTAATGGAAGGTCTTCGCGCTACTCCGCATTGCAACAACGTTGGCCGTGAAGAGAACATGTTGGTCCTCATCCTGGGTCATTCCTCTGAACAGCAGATTCTCGTTGAATGTTTCAATGGCCTTTTCGTACATCTTGTGATATTTGTCCGTCTGTGCACCCAGGAGAATGTGTTCTTTGGGTAAGTACTCGTATGCGGAATCGGCACATCCGCCGATGGTGAATTCGGAGTCATCGAATGTCATTCGGTCAGTGTCAATCCATGTCGGCCACATGCCAGGCATCCGTGTCTTGTCTTGTCCGATCTCGAGCTCGTTCATAATTCGCTGCACGGCGTCGTAGTACTTGGCGTCACCGGTCAGTTGAGTCAGGCGAGTGAATTCCATTGTCAAGGACCCCATTTCCGCTAAGCTTGTGCGTGAGGATGGTGTTATTTCTTTGCCTTGGGCAGATCTGGGTATTGTCAGTTTCGAATTCTCGTTGCATATTCGTGTTTTAGCATACCTAGTCCACTCCCAACGCACTTGAGGCATACGATTATGCGTATCGAACGCATTGAAGATCATCTCGCCCAGTTCGACAGCCTTTTTCAGCAGGATGGGATGTTTACCCTCGGTCAGGTCATGAGCAGCAATAAATCCACCCATATAACGAATGATTATCTCAAAGACAGGCACCTGTCTGCTCTTGGTCGTTGTGAAGTCGATTTCCTCCAGAGCTTCCAGAGCTAGCTGCAGTTCATCGTCCAGTCCCATAATCACAAGCGCATCTAGCGAATCAACAAGTGTGGCACCCCAGCCATTGAACGTATCCTGGTACCCTCCAGTGCGGGGTTTCACCTCATCTCGCATCCACGCATGGTCCTTATATCCATTCCATGAATGAAGAAACGCCTCCTTTACAGCATCCCGCTTCTTGAGTCTGGCTTTGCGCTCGCTGTGGGTTTCTTCGGGGAAGTTATGCTGAATGCGGGGGATTTTGGCTGAGCTTGTTGGTAGTGGAATATACTCTGTAACGGGGAATCGCTCGGTGATTTGATCTAGACGAATGGCATCATGCCGAATTGTGCCATCTTTTCTGGAGATTGGCTTTGCTAGGCGGCCTCGATATGTTTTTGTACTAGGGAGCCAGAAGAAGAAAACATATGTCGCGACAATCAGAAATAATGCGGTTGATAAAGGTCGATTTTTGCGCTTGTTATACATAACGAATGAATAGAGTAGGGGTGTTGCAAAAAAGACAAGAAATCACAAAAGAACGATCATAGGAAGCCCAGAGAAGGAGTGGAATGGTGTACAAATTGAAGTGTAGGGACCAGTAACAAAGACCGGCATTGATGTCTCAGAGAGAATAGGATCCCTGGGAGTTGGAACAAAGGAGGAAACGGACATATTTTTACACAATGTGGCACGTCATTGATTGTGAGAGGTCTCTGTGAAAGGGAATCAGACGCGGCCGAGTTCTTTGGAGCTCCATTGATCGTCCTTTTGGTGGCTTTCGGAATTTAGTGCAAGGCATGATATCGCATAGGGATGATGATGATTGGTGCAAATTTGGTAATGTGAACCCCCTTCACACCTGGCCACGTAAGACGGCAAAACTGCAGGGTCCAAACTGTGTTATTGTTAAGAGTATTAATAGTCAATCTAGACTTGCGATAAAAGTGCCAAGAGGGTCTTCTATCTCCAGGCTGTGCTCAGTCTGAGGGCGCCACCAAACCCCACTGCGGCCCCTGAGGTTGATCTTTGTCAATTTTAGACTGGAAGATCGCACAATAGGAGACGTGAATATGAAAACATGTGCTTCGATATCCATATGTACCATGATAACATGACTATATCTGAAGTCAAAGTGATCTGGGGAGTATCCGGGGTATCAGGAAGCCGTACCTAAATACTCCGTATGTTGTAGGTCACCTTATTCCCTGTGGACTAAATTCAGCCTTGCCCAGGCCTATGGGTGGAGTCTGGTGATCACGTGAGTTATACAGGGTTCAAAGGCACGTGATACTCATTGTAATGCAGTCACATGACCATGTTTGGGACCTCGTGTAATCCAGACGTGTGTGATTACATAAGAGCATTTGACCACTCGGCCAAAAGATCATAGAGACAATCGGAACGTCGGATTGTCGCTGCAGCGGTATATATATTAGGCCCTAGACTCTGCTCGGGACCACACTCGGGACTCTACAGCTATTACGTAACCCGCTTAGATCCCGGGGGTGTACTCGCCGCCGAATGTACCTAGTTAGCGGTCGCGGCACGAAGTAATTTGACCTGGGTCGTAGGACTGACTACCCGGAGAGCTGTTGAAGCGCCGGTGGAAGTGGTGTCAACTGCAACGGTTCCTGGGCTGTCGATGTTGCCCAGTTGAACTCTAGAGCCCGGGGACGAATGTCCTGCCCCGATGCCCCGGGCACCTGTGAGGCACCTTCGTTCGTCGGGTCTAGGCTCCTAGCAAAGCCATTGAGTACGTCGGCCGGCAGCTTTCCTGCCTGTCGGGCGAAGTCCTTTGACGCCTTTCTAAGAGGATGAGGACGTCTCGATTCGAGGGCCCAATCCGCCGGGTATGGCAAATTTGTGTTCGGAGCTTCAGGGAGGGGCCGTAGGGCTGACGTAAATTGCAGGTGCAAATGGTAGGAGTCGGGGCAATCGTGCCGTCAGTTAACGGTTCCTGCCGACAGGTCGTCGTCAGGACGTACTACCAGATGTGAGTCTGGAACCTAGGGGAAGGAAAGATGAATATCTTCTAGACACGTCCAAGACGACTCAAGACTCAGTAGGCTAGTCGATACATCAACCCCGTAATGGATAGACCACAGGATAAAGAAGGCACGATGGGAGGGGCACGAACTTCAACTCTCGCCCAGGTTTGTTCACAATCCTCTGCTCCCTTTCCCCTAGACACATCATCTAACATGACTCTTTGATCAATCATAGGCAAGCCTGCCAAGCAGTAATAACTTCAGCAATTCGACCTCTGCTTCTAAAGGGCCAAAGACCACTACTAACTTACCCCTATCCCAATCATCTTACTCGCCGTTTCTAGGAGAGTCGTTCGATCTTATCGTGCCCCCGGATGCACAAATTCTTCGCCCGCGCTCCCTAGAGGATATCAACGACGTAATTGAAGAGTTAAAAGACGAATTCGATCGGCATAACCTCGACGCGTATACCCCTAGACCATCGCAATATATCTGGGTTCATAAAATTCCGCAACACCTCTTCGCCCGGTTCGAAACAGACCTTGAACTCTTCCCAGGTGCTCGTGTGGCAGTGGCGCACGCCGAGTCCTCTATATTGTTAAAAGTTATGCCGGGACGGCAACACGAACGTATAGATACCCTCATTCGGATTCAATTCAGATCCAACAGGTTCAATTCAGGTTCAATTCAGATTCAATTCAGATTCAATTCAGATTCAATTCAGATTCAATTCAGATTCAATTCAGATTCAATTCAGATTCAATTCAGATTCAATTCAGATTCAATTCAGATTCAATTCAGATTCAATTCAGATTCAATTCAGATTTAATTTACTCTAGAAGTCCCTATACCTATATTGTGAATCCTATATTATACGTATTGTGATAGAAGGCTTCCTCCGTCTAAGAAGGGAGTAAGATCTGATATATACGATAATACTCCAAGGCATACAATGAAAGAGACTCTTGAATTCTTCAAGGAGTTTAGGGTTATTATGATAGAATAGCCTACCCTTTTACCTGATTTAAACCCTATTAAGGAGGTATAGAACTAGAAGAAGGATTATATTGAGAGAAAGTACAGGGATCAGCACTTTCCTTTATCGAAGCTTCGTGGTATGGTTTAGGAGGCCTAGGATACTGTACCGGAGGAATTCCTATCTGGTCTGATTGATAGTATGATATTTATGTGCCAGGCAGTGGTTGCTGCTAGTACCTACTACATACTAAGATAGTAAGATAGTAAGAAATTGGGAGTTAGGAGTTGCGAGTTAGGAGTGCAAAGAGCCCTGTTTTTAGAAAATTAATATAGTATTCATTTGTAAAAGTACTATATAGAATACTACGCTAATTGTGCAAGGTGAATCTTTATAAGGTAGGCTGTTGTACCAAACGACAACATCTCGAATATGTTTGCGAACCTCTTTCGCTAAGAACGCACCACCACAGACGCCAGACCTTCTCATACAGTCGTCATCGGACGCTGCTGTGAGGACGTAGTTCATTCATGCTTCATTTTTACATCGTATCTCCTTATACAGTCATTGCGGACATTTCTGTAAGGACGTAGACCAATATTTGCTTCATTTACTGTTTTCATCTCCATCTCTATGGATTGTTCTGTCCCCACGGACCACCAACAGATGGGTCGACGGCTGACGTCAGCGCCCTTCTTAACGTCGGCCACCATAGTAAATGCGATAAATTACAACTTGATATCCCCTCTGCTCTCAGACTTTACACCACTTTATTCTCCAGAACAACCTCGTATACATAGAAATTGTTCAAAGGTACCGGATTTTTCTCATCTTTAGTGCTTATCCTAATCGAACTATATAGATTGCAAAGCTCCCATCCTGTTGAGGAATCCTCTTCTGTCACTCTCTGGCACTGAACTTGATGATCATTCTTATTGATCGATCCCTATATCTATATTTTGCATGGTCGCTACCTGCTACGTATTCCTTGAATCAATACTCCAGCAGGACTGAAGATAACCTGGGGACTTCTCATCGCCGTCATCTTCTCAACTCATCAATTCCCCAGTTGATATTCCTCAGCTCAACCATCAGTTCCATTTCTTCCTCTGCACCTGCCCAGAATATAAGAAGACAAACATAAAAAAAAATGCCTATCACAGGGTAAATACCCTCTGAAACTCCAACAAAAACCCCCAAACTAACCCAAAAAAAAAAGCGTTTACTTCATCCCCTCAAACCCAAACGCGTCAACAGCCCTCCAAATAATAACAGAGCGCCTCCGCGCCGTCTTCCCAAATGAAGAACTAACCCCAATCGGCCGCTGGGGACTGGAACAAAAGCTCCTCCGCGACACCCCAGGTTTACTCCCCTCTTCAACCTCAAACAAAAAACCCCCAAACCCACGCTACATGCAATTCCTCTCATTAACCCACTACCCAACCCACGGCTTCATCTACACCTCGGAGCCAGAGAAACCCGCTCCAGCGCCAACCCAAAACCAAAACCAAGCCGCGCCTGCTCCTGTAAATGCAATCGCACCAGACCACTCCCCCTCCCCACCAATGGTCATGACTACTATCCCCCCTTCCTCGTACGGAACCCTCTTCCAGCACTTCACCTACGCTTGCCAGTCCATCTGGAGCCACCGGTTCACGCTTGCTGTCCCGAACGGGATCGTATATGAGGTTGGTGACTTCCGTGTGCGTCTTGGTGATGTGCGGCAGACGTTCCCGACGGCGCGGGTGCGTGGTACGATTGTTGAGATTGAGTGGCGTGGTCCGTCGGTTGTGGAGGCTATTCCTGTGGATCGGGAGGATGGATCGTTTAGTGCTGGTGTTGGTACTGCGGGTGATGGTGATGTGGATGTTGAAATTACGGGTATCGACCTCGCTAGTTCTGCCATTGAGGAATCCGATATCGATGCTGAGTATGCGGCGACTGCGTCGCTGATTCGGGAGTTTTGGGGGAGATTGGGCGTTGAGGCTCGGGAGGCGATTCTTATTCCGAATGTTGGGATGGAGGTTAAGGATCGGTTGAGGAGGTGGAAGAAGGCTGGGTCTGGGGTTGATACTAGTGTTGATGGGGCTGACTCGGTGGTTGGTGAACGTGCTGATGAAGATCCTGATCCGTGGTCTGGGGCGGATGTTGCGAGGCAGTTTATGGAGGTTTTGAGGTTTAATCGATAGGTGCTCAAATAGGGGTTGGATTATGGTTACTTCTTATACACTTGCTACGGTGTTGTGTGGACATGGCTGGTTGGAACAAGGTGGGGATGTTGAGACAACCCCAGCACCGTCAGGATTATAGGGAGAGAGCCATCATTCCTATATTATGAACAGTTGACCCAAAGTACCGCCCAGTTCATTCCGTCTGCGTTTCAAAGCACACGCTTGATCGTAAATCATCCAAGATGTAGAGCCTAATGAGCATAGACTACAGGAAATCGGTATTGGAAAATTGAAATGGAAGAGAAACATTCTCGTTAAGAAACCGCGATGTCAGCTAACATGGAAAAAGGCGCAACGGTAGGAATGCGTCGTTCATTTCTGCATCATGAGCTGAACGAACTCGTTGTCTATATGGAGATGGAGGGGTTAGCATTTGGGCAGACAAGTGCCCGTAGGCTGCAAGATTGTTTCCAAGACATACAGTCGATCCGGCCATCGCCATCCTGATCCGCCTCACGGATCATCTCGTCAACCTCGTCGTCGGTCAGCTTCTCGCCGATGGAAGTCATGACATGGCGTAGCTCGGCAGCGGAAATGAATCCGTTGTTATCGCGATCAAAAACCTTGAATGCCTCGCGGATCTCCTCCTCGGAATCGGTGTCCTTCATCTTACGAGCCATCATGGTGAGGAATTCTATCGCACGTTAATAGCCGTCTCTCGTTTATGTCAGTGGGTTATGGTCAAATACCTGGGAAGTCAATGGTGCCGTTGTTGTCGGCGTCAACCTCGTTGATCATATCCTGCAACTCAGACTCGGAGGGGTTCTGGCCCAGCGAGCGCATGACGGTGCCCAGCTCCTTGGTGGTGATTTGTCCTATTGGGAGAATTGTATGTTAAAATACCTTTCTCTTGAGATTCGATCACAGAGGACACTGCTGCGGGCTCAACTGAGCTGTCGGGTGCGACCACACGTACCATCACCATCCTTGTCCTATTCCGCAACAAAACAAACTCTCGGTCAGCATATTCGACCTTCATGTCTTCGAATTGTATGTAGAGTCACTCACAAACAGGGAGAATGCCTCCTTGTACTCGGACACTTGCTCTTCGGTGAGGGAATCAGCCTAGAGGATGCAATGGTCAGTGAGGTTCGAAAAGGAATGGTGTTGCCCCGCATTGTGGGGGGGTTTGATTTTCGACAACGCAACACACAAGTTGATATAAGTTATGGGATCAGGGACATACCATGATGAATGTAGATGGGGAAATTACAAAGGAGGGGTCAAATGAAGAAGTTGAAGAAGAGGGTTAAGGGGAACAGCCTTACAAGAGTTACCAAAATAGCGTGCCTGAGGATACCCAGTCAGCGTCGTTTCATCTCAGGGCGGTGGGGAATGTCCTGGGGCTGAATGTTGGCCACTTGTTTGACTGTTTGACATTTTTGTTTTATATCCGAGTATTTTATATATCAATTATATTTAGATCTCTAGATCTCTAGATCTCTTTTTGAAGCTATGAACTGTATCTCTTTTTTTTTTTTTTCTCATATGATATTGTCCTAACGCTGGACAAAAGCTTGATCCCGCCCCTCTGCTGAGCGAGCTAACAATGATAACTAAATAGTACTATAACTTAGTTAGTTATTATGCCGAGTACACATGGAGCCTAATTCCCTAGGATGGTCTTGGCTTTTGTTTTGGGTCTCTTTCGTCTTTAGTACTTTGTAGTAGACTGCGGGGCCCTAGATTTGTAGATCTATAGATGTTATAATATAATATATTAATAGAATATAGTTGTTTAGTCTATTAGCCTTCGAATTTTTATTGTCTTGAGAACACCATATACCTACATATGTATTTAGGTCATGTTATCCAAAATCCGGGGTGCCAATGCCACTTTCAATTGAACACGCGACTCATAGTAAGACATTTGCAGTAGTTGACACGATGTCACGAGAGACCTGACTATTATTTTAGTCGAGAATATATATAGAACAAACTGTCTTCACAAGTTACCCAACGATACGAAAATTACCCCACTCCACGTGGACCAGAACCACGGATTACATGATGAATACCGGGAATACGTGACCCCTTCCGACATGTGGAGAGCTCCTATCGTTCACTTCCGGCTACATCGAGACTCTATTCAATCCCAGCCTATCACTTCCACCTGATCATGATTCTGATACCCTCACCAAATCAATAAACTATCCACACAACCCGATCCTGCCAACGCCCTCACAATGTGGCGGGATCGAACCAACCTGTATGCAACCCCCATATACCCTACCCCAAGCGCAACCTGTCAGCGCCGGAAAGAGCCAAAGAAGCAAAAGAAGAGACACCATCCATAAAACCCAGTCTACAAAGCATAGCAACAACTAACACTCCACCTCCAAACCAAGCTACCTCTCTTACCGCCAATCCCTAATCCACCACCCAGCCAAAAAGCCACAATTCACACCAACACATGGCTTCTCCGACACACCCTCGCACCCGGAGGAAACCAGGCACCTAATACCCGAAACAGACGAAGATGGCGACATGGTCATAGAGATGGATCTCCTCCCGCCGCGCTGGGTCGACGTGCAGGAAGAGGTCTCCGAACTGTTATCCGGGATCGCCCAGAACTCCGCCCAGCTCGACAAGTTACACCAGAAACACCTGCTCCCCGGCTTCGGTGACGAGGACCTGCGCAAACAGGATGAGGGCGTTATCGAGCGCTTGACGCAGGATATCACGCGCTCCTTTCATGATTGTCAGCGCGCTATCATGCGCATAGAGACTATGGTCGGCGAGTCGAAGGCGCATGGTGGTGTTACGAGTGGGGAGGAGACTATGGCGAAGAATATCCAGATCTCGCTTGCTTCCAGGGTGCAGGAAGCTAGTGCTAGGTTTAGGAAGAAGCAGAGTACTTATTTGCGGAGTATGGGACCCTTCTTTGCTTTTTGTGTTATTATTGTTCTTGTTCTCCTCCCGTGGAGGAAGAACTGGTTGGTTCAAATATGCTAACGTGGTGATTTGTTTCTGTGTAGAATTGCGAGATCTTGAGGGTATCGCGACGCCGTTCGATGGCACGCCTACGCAGGCCCAGAACCCATACACGGATCCATCGATGATGGAGTCAGATGCCGACAGGTCCTTTTCGCAGACGATGTTGCAGCAGACATCGCAACGACAGACTGGTCAGAATGATGCTGCTATTGCGCAGCGGGAACGCGAAATCAACGATATTGCAAAGGGAATTATTGAGCTCTCGGATATTTTCCGTGAACTGCAAAGCATGATTATCGACCAAGGAACCATGCTGGACCGTATAGATTACAACGTCGAGCGAATGGGCACCGAGGTTAAGGCTGCAGATAAGGAGCTGAAAGTGGTATGTTACCTCTTTTTTAGTTCGATTTCGCTAGAACGAGAAACTGACTCATATAGGCTACGAGTTATCAACAACGAACCACCAAACGCAAGATCATGCTATTACTTCTCCTAGTCGTGGTGGGAATGATCATTGTACTAGTTGTGAAGCCAAAAGGGAGCAGATCAGCGCCTCCGCCACCTCCAGAGGATGAATCTTCGAACAATATCCGCTCTGTGCTGGCTTACCGGGGGCGAAGGCATCAGTTGTCAAACCGCTTTGCGCGAGATCGCTGGATGGATCCAGATATATTCCGATAATTTTTATTTTTTTATTTTCCAAATAGCAATGTTCATAGTTAATGTGACCAGAAGAACAAACATTCTCTTTGCATATCGGTAGTTGCTGGTTGTTGATATGACTTTGGTTGCAAGTAAATATATACGTAGGCATGTAGGCATCTAGACACGATGTAACTATATGAGATGCTAGGTATTTTGTAAGTTGGACTACAGGCCTATGATTGATCAATGCCATATGTTACATGCTCCCACTCTTACATTTAGTTACTTCATACATACACAAAAAAGAATAATATCAAACATAAACCGAAACAAGAATGCCCGAGAGGTAGTCAATGGAATAAAGAAATGGTTACATCACACCAGGGCAGCCGATGCACATAAATTACCAAGGCAACATATCGCCCGGACCATAATGCTCCAAACTCACTTAGTGGTTACCCTGAGTGGCAAGCAGGTCAGCCACATCAGCATCTAGATCGCCGGCTGCGAAAGCCGCATAGTCCTCCTCGCCATGTGAGATCTTGCGTCTCTTTGCGTGGCCATCGGAAGCAATATCGAAGTCGTTGCCATGGTTCGGAGAAGTAGTGGATCGATCAGTGACAGCAGTCCCATTGCCTGACTGCTGCATGTCGGGGAAGTTCATGGGGTTCCATTCCGAGGTGTCGTCGTCCGCCTCTTCGGTAAAAGGGCCACGGCGGACCTGCTGCTTTTCTGGCTGTGGGGACCCCACTGGCGTAATAGCTTCCACCGGGGGAGGTGTCAAAGCTTCGACTACTGGGCGACCGGGTGCGTCATCGTGTCCGTTGTGTTCGCCGGGGTTTGTAGAGGACTCCTCACTGGGTAGACCGCGCATAATCGCATCTTCGACCTCGCGCTTCTCGTTATCGACTGAGGTTTTCTTTTGCGAGAGTTCGGCGTCAAGGACTTCCTCCTTTGATAGCTCTGCGCGGTTGGTCTGGAGGATCTTCTCAAGCCCATCGATCAGGGCGCGGCGCGACTTGATTACCTCGGAGACAGAGTTTTCTGCGTTGGCAAGCGTCTTCAAGAGTGAACTTAAACGTGCGGCGTGAACGGGAAGTGTAGGCTTCGGAGACTTGGGGTCATGAAGCTTGTCGAACTCTGAATTAGCGGTTGCGGCGGAATTGTTGGAGTTAATGACAGCCTTGTTGACAGCAGTCTGCAATGGGTTGAGAGGTTGTAGTTCTGATGGGGTGGATCCCGAAGAAGTATCCTTGAAGAAGGAGCCTCCGAGGGTTTGCTTCTTATTTGTAGGACGAGCTTTGTCGAGTTCTGTAACTTAATCAGTTTAGCTGTTCCCTCACTATGCCCATTGATTCGATGTACCGTCTATGCGAGCTTCCACTGCATCCAGAATAGCTCCATCGAATACATTGCGTTGTCTCCAGACCTCCACCACTCGGCGGATCCTTTGTTGGTATTCATTTGACGAGCCCTTGTAAGCTGCTGACGTAGCATCGACGATTATCTATTGTTCTGTTAGATTGAGTTGCAATGGTCGGACTGAGGGAGACGGACCGGGGATAGCGCAATGAGGAAATCATTTTTCCCGCGTGCTTTGGATTGCTGAGCCACCTCTGTAAATATAATCAGCAAGTGGTACGGAGCTCAAGTGCGGGAGGACATATGTACCATTGGCTAGGTAGATCAGGTTGAGTCGCTTGGGAGGCGGCGAGTCACGAATCTTTTGGAGCCAAAGTTGTGCGGTGCGTTCAGCATGGCGCCTATAGTTACAGGCAAAAAAAATCAGCAAGTCTCTTTGGAATTGGAGCAAGTGTCCGTACCTGTGGAACATAACCCATTGCGCAACAGTAACGATGCTTTCCTGCGAGTCATTCAGAGCAGATAGCTTTGCCTTCACAGCGTCATCAGTGAAAGCCATGATGACAAAATTAGTAAGCGCTGCAATTGAATGGGAGGCGTTTGAGAAGTGAAATTATCAGATGTAAAGCGCGAGGTCGCAATCACGGTGGGAGACAAATAGGCAACAAGGAGCAATTGAAGATCACTAGTGAGATTTTGAACCGCAGTAAAGTTGCAATCAAGTAAAGTCACCGGAAAAAAGTCGAAGGAAATATCAAAACGAAGATCTCAACTCTCAACCTTCTTCATCACAAAGTGAAGTTGAAGTGCTTTGTACCCCAAGCTTGAAACATGGATAAGCTTACCGCCCCGGAACCGGCAGAACAACGGGGCTCCGAGCCCGCCCCGGCCACACCTGTCAACACTACTTCCTCTAACTATCAACTTCCTGGCCCTTTGATTACTTCTCCTCCTGACCATCTTCTTGATTCAAACGTCTTTATTGATTCATACAACAGCCAAAAACAATCCATTCCCAGTATGGCTGATCGTTTTCCTTCCCTAGAGGACTTCTCTGAAGGTATACTTGAACCCACCTTACTTGCTCTCCTTACACCGGAGCTAACATGACCCGCATT